GACAGATGATTCTATGACTCTGCCATGCTGGGAAGATGTCGAGTTAGGTCATGACCACCCCGGCAGGCCCCCACTCCCCCATTAGAACTAAACCCACCAAGTCCCTTCTAAACCTTCCCAGAACAGCATCTCTGAGCCAAACACTGGAAAAAAAGCAGAATCACTGCCCTACAGTGCATTGTAACCCCCTCTAGCTCTCCCCCTTCTTCCTCAGTCATGCGGTGCTCAGCAGAGTGAACAACTGGCTTTAGGGGGGAGGGATAGCTCAGTGGTTTGAGCATTGGCCTGCTAAACCCAGGGTTGTGAGTTCAATCCTTGAGGGGGCCACTTGGGGATCTAGGGCAAAATCAGTACTTGGTCCTGCTAGTGAAGGCAGGGGGCTGGACTCGATGACCTTTCAAGGTCCCTTCCAGTTCTAGGAGATGGGATATCTCCATTTCCTCTCTCAGCTCCTCCCCTTGTTCCCAGAGGGATGCAGGGAATGGATCCGGACAGGGCTGGGAGCTGGGAACCTCCCTCCCCACTTCTTGATCCTGCTGCCCTTCAAGTCTCTCCGCTCTCCCTTTTATCTTCTTCCCTTGCCCTGGGAGAACGGGCGACTGCCCCATTGTCGTGGGCCTTTGCTCTCCTTAGGCAGCTCAGCCACTGACACTGGTAACGGGGGTTGAACCCGGCTGTGTCACTGAGGGCAGCAGCTCTGGGGCTCACAGACACAGGGAGCCCCTCCCCTTGTAGGCCAAACTCACCAGCCGGTTCCTGAAAGGGGCCTTTGTGCAGAGTCATTTCCCTGCCTGGCTCCAGCCCTTTCCCCAGGTCTCTCCATCACCTGGGAGCTGAAGCTCAGGGGCTGGTATGGTTAGAGGGGTTCCAGCCACTGGAGAAAGTGCCCCTGGGCTGGTCTCAGAGGGGTGTGATGATGCAGGAATGTTCTTAATGTTTTCTCTGAATACTGGGTGTGTGCCTCAGTTTCCCCATGTGTTACTCAAGTATCAAGCTGGTGGGATACAGGTGTGTGATCATTGCAGAGATCTCTAGAGGGCAGGTGTGACTGCAGAGTGGCTCCCTGGGCATAAAGAATGGCCAAAATTCTGTATCATGGCAAGCCGTGGCCGAAAACGGTCCTCTGCAAGGAGCCAGCCAGCCAAAGGTGTTGGAGAACAAAGAGAGAGGGGGAGGACAGGTGACCTGTTTTCCTGGGAAGGAGAGAAAGCATGGAGGAGGAGAGCTGGGCATTACTAAGGATGGGGGGCTGGAAGCAGGTCAGTCTCCTGGTTTGGGACTCAGTGGAGAGAGTCCAGGACTCGGGACTCTGGATTCCCCCCCAGATGGAATTTGCTGAAGGCTCCTGATTTCTGTGCTAACAAGCTCTGTTCTATGCTGTGTTCCCAGTGACCAATAAACCCGTCTGTTTTCCAAGCTGGCTGAGAGTCACAACTGACTGTGGAGGTGGGGTGCACAGCCCCTGTGAGGAGCGTGTCAGGCTTCTCCTTAGGCTGCCCACGGGGTTCAGGCTGGGGCTGTGTGCCCTCCCTGAGCTCTGGGGATGGGGAGGCTGGGGCCACATGCTCAGCGAGGGTGGGGGGAGTTGGGTGGTGCTCAGGGGCTTGGGTTCCTGCCTCTAAAGTGGGTGGGAGAAGCTTTCCTCCCTCAGCCCTGGGTTCACCCCCACCCCCACTACCTCTACCCCATTCGTATCGCCAACTCCTAGTCCGAAGCAGGGGGGCTGAAACAATCTGGAGGGGGGGGCGCTGAGAGCAATTGAACCAAACTGTAAACCCTGGATAGGATAGAAACCCCTTCAAGCCAGTGGGTGCGCCCCCCCCCCCGCCCCGGATTGTGCCCCTGGGCCCCTCTCCTTCACCAGACGGGCCCCCCACCCTGCATTCGGTTTGGCCCTTGACCACCTTCTACCCCTCCCTATTTGCCCCCCTCAGATCTCCCTGAGCTGCAGCCTCC